ACCATTTAAATGTCACCTGTGCAGTAAAACATTCAAAGAATCCGGGAATCTGAGAAAACACATATTTACGCATGGAAACGTGCGGCCATTCAAATGTGAAGTATGTAGTAGAAAATTCACTCGGAAAGCTGATTTGAATAGACACATGAAAGTGCATAAAAGTTCGAATGAAAAGCTATATTCCATAGCAAGCTCCTTAATGATATCGATGGCAGATGATATCATTGACACAGAAATATTTATAAAGAAAATAATTACATTCGCAGGAATTTAAATTATTGTATTGTGTTGACTTAAGTTATATTTGTACATTTTTTTTTTCTATCGTTTGTGCTTTGTCCACTATTTTTTATTTGAATGTCAAAGGTCATCAAAAGAAATTATTGAAAATTTAATAACTTAATAAAAAATTTTCGCATGTATTTAATGCTGACATTTCTTCCGTTATCAAATGATAATCTGATAGGCTAATCAACATGAACCGCTCAGTGTCGAATAAATTAACAAATGCTAATTTATTTTTCATTTGTGATGAGCAAACAAAATTGCCAGATAAAACAGCAGTTAAGAATAGTAGTACGAACAATTCATCCATCCTCTTATCCTTCCACATCACCTTCCGGTTTCTCTGAAAATGATAAGCAAATATGATGATAATTAAAAGATTGATTAGACTGATTATCAACAAATAGTAAGCAATATCTGACAAATGATGAAGTCAATTGATAACGAATTGTTGATTATGAAATAATTATTAATAATTACTATTTATTGCAAATATATCGATCATAACGATCAACAATCATTATCATTTATCGGCTATTGAAATTTCAAAAATTGCCCCCTGATAATATATTAAGAAAATTAACACTTCATTGATATTTATGTCTAAGAATTTTCGAAATCGATTAATTCTGCAACAAAACAAAATGTAAAATCATCTTTTACAAGTTATTTATCAGAAGTATACAAATATATCAATCATAATAATCAACAATCTTCATCACTTATCGAAGCTTTTATCAATCGATAAAAATTGATCAATAAGTTTACTAAAAAAATTATCATGAATTAGTCGCACGAAAAATACATGAAAATGTTACTTTGCCACAAATTCGTTTTCATATTAAAAAACAAAATTGCGATAAAAATGATAGAACCAAAGCCTATCTATCTATGCCTTTTATCATTTACAAGACTAAAAAATGATAAGTTATCAAAATAATGAAATTCCTTAGCAACACATTAGAATGAATTCTGTTGTGAAAACTTATCACTCCTAAGGATTATTTTCATTTACATTTTACTTTTTTTTCATCAAAGATAATTTTTCACTGGCTTATCATATCAGCAAAAATTGTTGAGATTTAATGTTGAATCTCATTTTACGTGATAACAAAGTGCCGAAAGGTTTAATTTTAGGAGCTAAAAGAATATTCGGCACGTATTAAATAATATTATATGCATATTTTCATTCACTCTTGCATCCATAAAATTGCAACTTATCATTAAACTTATCATTTTATCACTGATTTTTTGGATGAAATGAAAAATTTTTGTAAATTCTTATCAATATATTTATTAATTATTATATTAAGGTGTGAAATTCACAATTTAAATGTTTTAAAATTTATGAACCTTAGAATTTCATTAAAAATTAGTGCAAAGAGATAATACTGAAAATTCCTGAAATTTATATTTTCATGATATCAGCCTTTAATTTGAGAAGGAAAAAAAAACTATTTTCCAGGTAATCTAATTGCACAACAGTTGCAAATTTCATTACTTAGATAAAACCGATACTAACAGATGATAATGAAAAAGAAGACAAAATAGTTTCCGTTCTTAAACTAACAGTTTTATATTTGTATGAATCATGAATAAGTTAATTGATATTTTAAATTTGCTAATTTATCATTTTCTATCCGATCACTAATACTACAAATTTATTCTTAATTACTGATGAATTATTGAGTCATGATAAATTATGATTGCTGATGAATAATGAATTATGAATTGCATCAAAGTTTTACGTACAATTTCATCAATCACCTTTGACATTCAATCAGGAAATAACGGACACAGAACAAATGGCAAAAAAACAGTAGAAATATAACTTAAGCCAACACAATACAATAATTTATAGTCCTGCGAATGTAATTATTTCCTTTATTGATATTTCTGTGTCGATGATATCATCTGCTATCGATATCATTAAGGAGCGTGCTATGGAATACAGCTTTTCATCCCAACTTTTATGCCTTTTAATGTGTTTATTCAAATAATTGTATTGAGTGAAATTCTTACCACATACTTTACATTCGAATGATTGCACGTTTCCATGAGTCAATATGTGTTTCTTCAGATTCCCGGATTCTTTGAATGTTTTACTGCACAGGTGACATTTAAATGGTTGCTCGTTTCCATGTCTCAATATATGTCTCTTCGCATTCCCGGATTCTTTGAATGTTTTACTGCACAGGTGACATTTAAATGGTCGTTCGTTTCCATGCGTCAATTGGTGTCTCTTCAGATTGCCGGAACGTTTGAATGTTTTATTGCACACGTAACATTTGAATGGTCGTTCGTTTCCATGCATAAATTGGTGGCTCTTCAGATCGTCGGACCTTTGGAATACTTTATTGCATACCTTACATATGTATTTTTTTTCACCGGTATGTATCATCTTATGGCGCTTCAGAGTGCCGGAATATCCGAATTGCTTATCGCATACTTCACATTTGTACCGTTTTTGGTTTGCTTTACTGTCATTAGCTATAATCTTTATTTCGCCGTCGTTCATTATTATTGCTGCTTGTATTGCCTCATCGCCTTCATATGATACCTGGAATAACAAAAATAATTAATACATTTCATTATTAAATTCCTGCGAATTTTGAGCAGCAATAATCAGAGGCAATATGCGGATATGATTGTTGAATCATTGAGTGGCATGATTTACTTCTATATTTCAAAAATAGCTCGATGAATTGCAACAATAAATTGAAAAAAGTATCAGTTGTGCTATGTTGTGACAGTCAATTTGAGACAGAAGGATTAACAGATCGATGCAATAAAAATGATTTAGCGATTTAATGCACAAACTTTTTGTGCTTCGCTTTTGGTATTTGCGCAGGAAATGATCGCAAAATACCAAGCATTTAGAAGTAACAGAGAAATAGATATGGATAATTTTTCTTCATACTAGGCAGCTATTTTTGTCCTTAGCTAAGATAAAAAATTTTGTAAATATTTATTTCTTAAACTAAGAAGCAATATCTTATTCACATACCGTTATTTGCGCGACGTGCAACGGCAAAACAAACAATACGAAATAGCATGACAGATACATGATCCAGAAGTGATGAGATGTGGAAATAATCGAATTCTTTTCGAGAAATATGCCAATCTAATGAAGTGATATTTTTCGTATTAACTGACAGGACCGTTTTTATGCATTCCGGTAAGACATATGATCTACGATCAAATACAGTCATCAAAAGCTCCAGTCTTTTCGCATAATAATTTTCACTCCACTCTAAAGTTTTTTGTTAGTTACGCTGGATAATAATAGTTTCATGCAAATGTGATTATAACTGGCAGCATTGTTCAGAATTGTCACCAAATCTCTTCAATCCCGAGTAGAATGAAATAAATAAGATCAAATACTGCAAAATAGGCAAATATATTTTATTATCATTTATTATTTAATTAATTATCAAATAAATGAATGAGTAAAATTGTATTAAATTACTAAATTATATTAAACAATGTTGTAAAATATTTTAGTTAAAAAAAATTAATTAAATAAATAATTAAATAAGATAATGAATAATTGGTAATTAATAATTTTTTTCAAATATATCATCGTATATATAAAAGGTGCAATCAATGAACAGTTCACTGTAAAAGTGAAAACATAAGAATGAATGAATGATATGTCGGAGCTTTTTAAATTTAAATTAAATAATAATAAGAATTAAGAAATTTTAACTAATAATTTTTGATATGGTAAATAATGGATAGAGCTATGAGTTATGAAATGAAAGGAAGAACTAATTGATTAGCGATTAATTAATAACTTCATCTTTTCTTGACTTTCTTGCCAAGTGACTGCCAGATATTTGAATTGCATTTCTTAATTTATCGTTATTGATATATTATGTTAGCTATTAAAATAAATAGCTAACATAATATATCAATAACAATGCTCAGAGATTAATTCGTATTTTGGTGATACTTTAACTTTATTTCTACTTATACAAATATAATATATTTATATCTCATTATTTATTAATACATCAATACAATCAGTTATGCTATTTATATTTTATCATTAATCAGTGCATCAATACAATCAGTTATGCTTTCGTATATCTGTTGTGTGAAAGCATAATTTAACGTGCATCTGAAAGGTAATAAATTTTACGACTAACTTTCAGCTAATTTAATTCATCGAAAATATAATTACATTGAAAAAAAATGTCATCAATCATATCCACACGTGTATATATTGAAGTATTGATATATAGAGTGTATATTTATGAGTTTATATATGAATCTATTGAATTTATATATATAATGTATATATTGAAATGTAAATAAACAACTATGCAACTAAAAAGTAAAAAATTGAGGAGCGAAAAATGTTTCATTCGTCATTTACTATCGATGCTGATTTGGTTAAAAATTCCACAAACAAAAAGGTCAGAGGTGAATTTTTCCAAATACATACGATGCATATAGTGGCAGCTTTTTTCCAATAAATATCATATTTCATTAAATTTGTCGAATTTCCAACGATATATTCTATGCGAAGTATTTTCGGCAATTTCTCATCACACCAAAAAAGTATAACAACATTTAAATATCGAATTTCATCAGCATATTTTTTCTAAATAAAATGTTGAGATGATAATCTTCGTGAACATTTCAACATACGTTATGGAAAATTTTGCATCAGCGAATATCACTCATTTTTACAGCTTGACTGAGAGATTTAAGAGCAAGAGAAAGTCGGTTTGTCCATAATTTCTGATAAAAGTTAACTCCCCACTTTCTTTGTTAAATTCTTATCACTTACTTCTTATCCGTTTAACTTTAGAAATGTGAAAAATAATAAAATCACAGAACAGAGGAAGTGAATCATTTGAAGGACCAAAAATATAAAACAGACTGTAATGAAATATTTCATTGCTGAAATTTAAAAATTCACCTCAAAGCAGTATATTATGTAATTTTTATGACTTAAAAAATGCGATAAATTAATTAAAGTGAATTATTTTAAACAATCTTTTTAATATAAGGCTTTGCCTCGATCGTACGAAATCAATGGTTATAGAATTCATTTAATCAATAACATTTGACCTTGTAAATCTGTTCGCTCGTGCTTAAAAATTTTGATAGTAATTTATTTGAATTTTAATAATATCAAATGATTTCAAACTTAAAATACTTTTAGCAGTGCTTTATCGTTTTTTAATGATGATTTAACATAAGATTATTGTGTATTCTCTTCAAATAATTTCATTCTACTCGGAATTGAAGAGATTTGGTGACAATTCTGAACAATGCTGCCAGTTACAACCATATTTGCATAAAACTATTATTATTCACTGTAACTAACAAAAAATATTAGAGTGGAGTGAAAATTATTATGCGAAAAACTGAGGTTTTATGATTATATTTGGTCACAGATCATATGGCTTACCGGAATGCATAAAAGCGGTCCTCTCAGTTAATACGACAAATATCACTTCATTAGATTGGTTGTTTGCAAAAAATATTTTTCGAAAAGAAATCGACTATATTTCCACATCCCAATACTTCGCGATCATGTTTCTGTCATATTATTTGGTATTGCTTGTGTTGCCGTTATGTGCCGCGCAAATAACGGTATGTGAATATGATATTGCTTCTCGGTATAAGATATAAATATTTACAAAATTTTAATCTTAGTTAAGGAAAAAATTAAATAAAAATTGAATTTTCCATATGTATTCCTCTGTTACTTCTAAACACTCTATGTTTTGCTCTGTCTGAAATCAACTGTCACAATATAGCACAACTGATTCTTTTTGGAAATTACTGTTGCAATTCGTCGGGCTATTTTTAAAATGTAGAAGTATTTGTGCCACTCAAAGATTCTACAATGATATCAGCATAATGCCTCTGACTTTGGTGTTCAGAAACGCAGGGTAACAAACACCTATAATGAAGTAATCATTTTGGGTTTTTCAGGTATCAAATGATGGCGATGAGGCAATAGAAGCAGCAATAAGAAATGACGAAGAAATAAAGATTATGGTTAATGACAGTAAAACAAACGAAAAACGGTACAAATGTGAGGTATGCGATAAGCAATTTGAATATTCAAGTGTTCTGAAGCGCCATAAGGTGACACATACCGATGAAAGAAATTACGTATGTAAGGTATGCAATAAAGGTTCAAAAGATCCCACAATCTGAAGAACCACCATTTGACGCACGGAAACGGGCGATCATTCAAATGTTACGTGTGCAATGAAACATTCAAACGGTCCAACGAACTGAAGAAACACCAATTGACGCACGGAAACAAGCGAGCATTCAAATGTTACGTGTGCAATGAAACATTCAAGCGGTGCGTCGAGCTGAGAAAACATCAAGTGACGCACGGAAACGAACGACCGCTCGAATGTTACGTGTGCAATAAAACATTCAAAATATCCGGGAGTCTGTGGAAACACATATTGACGCATGGAAACGTGCGGCGATTCAAATGCGAAGTATGTGGTAGGAATTTCACTCATAAAAGTAATATAAATAGACACATGAAAGTGCATGAAAATTCGGATGAAAAGCTAAGAGTAAGCTTCTTAATGACGGGTGATATCATTGACACGGAAATATTAATTAGGGGAATAATTACATTCGCAGGACTATAAATTATTGTATTTTGTTGGCTTAAGTTATATTTGTACTGTTTTATTGCCACTTGCTCTTCCCTACTATTTCATGATTGAATGTAAAAAGTGATTGATGAAATTGTATGTTAAAATTGAATTTTGAAAAATTGAATAAAATTTTGATGTAAAGTTTTTAAAATTTGAGCATTGGCTGTTAAGCATCAAGAAAGCAATCATATTTTTTCATTTCGCTAAAATTAAAATTCGAAAAATATATAAATAAATTATACACAGCATTGATAAACATATTAAACAATGTATTAAATGTGATCGGAAGTGAACGAAATCTTTGAATGATTGTTTGATATTTTTTGATATTAATTCTTATATTATTTAAAAATTTATGATTCGATCAATGAAATAAAGAAAAAATGAATTTATACTATTTCATTATCAGTAGCATGAATTTTAGATGAAAATTGTGGTTGCTTAATATTTTTTGGTATAATTCGATTACTGAAATAATTCTAAATATAAATAATTATTGTTGAGGGGAAAACAAGCATTAGATAACTTTAAATATTCCAAAATTTATTTATCAACGAGTGAGAGAGTTTACAGATTTCGACAACATCACTTTAAGTTAATGTATTCAGCAAAATCAATTAATTATTACTAATTACATATTATTATGAATTACATTGTTCGTATGCAACTGTAACATGTTGTTATGTTACAATGGAAGAAATTGTATTGTTCGGATAATTTGTAGAAAATTGTTTTCATTCGAT